AGTCCTGTGGACATGAGTTGCATTTTGAACACTACATATTTTTAAAAAATGAACATTTATTTTCCCACAACCCCGTTTTTCACTCTTCTGTGAAGTGCTTCAGAGATATTTAGAAAGGAACCTGATGAAATGCATTACTGCTGATTGAGTCAGCAGGTTTACTACTGAGTTTCATTAGTAAATTTCTCCCAATATTTAGCAACCACAGCGTCTTTGAAGGAGGAAAAGGACCAGCTTGTCTAAAAATCAAATCCTTCCGAAGAGACAGCTGGCAGAAATGTAAGGTCAAGCAATTCATCTGGTATTTCAGAAAACTAGCAGAAAATCAACCTTCAGCTAGAACTAATATATGTAGAACAGGTTATGACCTCAATTGGTTTCTCCATTTTGGCACCAATGGGAGACAGGGAGCAGCATTTGCTTTCTTCATGAGGGAATGAGACTTTTGAAACAATGCTAACAAATTTAATAACCAATATTTGGGCCCTTCTGGTCATGCTATCCCAAGGAAGATATTACATAGCTGGAAAAGATCCAGAGAAAAGCAGCTAAGATGATAAAGGGAAAAGCTTATCTTTCATTCAAGGACAACTAAAAGACTAAAACAGATTAGAATTTCTCAGACCAGGAAGATGAAAATGAAAAGGGTTATTAGTAGGGGCATGTGTGATTAAATTCAACTCAAGGTAAATATAAATGGATTCACTGAATTCTAAGACATTTAATTGGGGCCAGTCCTTGAGGTTAAATGATGTAAATTCAAGAGAAGTTAAAATATGCCTTGATCTACATAGGAGTTAGTACCAACTATGGAACTTATTTCCAAGACGAGGCCAAGGTAACAAATGGTAAAAGTGTAACGCACCGTTGGATAAACAAACTGCCAATTGATTTACAATACTTCACTAAGGAATGATCATGATGCATTCTAATTCTTAAAATAAAAATTAATAGGTTTACTGGCAAAGCAACTATTGGTGCTTTCATCTGCGACAGAGTTCGGGCTGGTCGCCCTGTTGTTCTGACCCACTGTGATATTTCTTACGGTCTTTTCATGACATCTATGTTGGAACATCCTGCATCCAACTGTGGGATTCCTAAATTTTTATGACAGCCCAGAACACAGAAGAATAATTTTTGAACTCATTAAGAAAGCAAGAGAGTCCCAGCTCTTGGCTCTGTTTGGTTTACCCATATGGGAGCATGCAACATAAAAAGGTGAAAGAAATCATGACAGAATGCAGCAGCTGGTTAAAGGCTATTATATTGAAATTTTCATGAGCCTGACAGTAGGCCAAAAAACTACAAAATGGCAGAGAGCAGAGAAGGCAGTTGTAACAGGTTGAACATTGTTGGTGATTATTTTTTCAGTGGCAATGAAAGCTGTAATCAAATAACTTGAAAGAGATTCTGGCAGAAATAAGAGAGTCCTAAGGGACAGGGAATATGAAAACTGTAACAATGATGTATGCTATGAACTAATAAACTAGACAAACATGTAGTTTGAAGAACCAAAATCGAGGTTCACAGTATCGCAGGAAAAGCTGATGGTGTACTACAGGCACAAACACTGCTTGATTTGCAATCTAAAGCACGAGATGTTGTCAAGGACTTAACACCTGATGGATGAATGCACAACTCAGCAACCAACAATGACATGTGCTATTTGTATGGAAACCTCTTGTTAGATGATTAGTTTTTCCCAGCAGTGAAAAAGGAAAAGTTGTAAAGCATTAAAAAAGATAGCCAGAGAAGACACCTGGTTTTGCAGCTGGGAATCTGTGGTAAAAAATTTTGAATAGAAATCAAGACAAAGAAGATTAAAAAAAAAGGAAATGGGGACCGAAACAGTGTCATTGTAAACTCATTTTTACTGTTATTTTTGAAACAAGAAAAGCATGTCAGATTATGAATAGCATTTACCAGTGTATTAAGCCTACTGAGTCCTACACATCAAGCTAATATACATTAAATACAATGTATTAGACAACAGTAATGGGTAATAATAAAACAGAAATGATATCAATGCATATTTTATACATTAGGGATATAGCTTCGTAGGTAGCATGTGCAAGACCCTGTGTTTGATCCCTGGCACCACACACACAAAACCCAAAATCAAGCCAACAAACAAGCAAAAACTACATTTTACGAATATATGTTCTGCCTATATTACAGCTTACCATTTTAGAGTTCTATTTGAAAATTATATAATATAATCCCAAATTTTTTTTTCAAGACTTTCCTGTACCAATTTTGTTTAAAACACAAATAAGTATTTCCTTTCTGTCATGGCAAATGATTCAAATAAATCCCAAATTTTAAATAGATTATAATTGTACAGAAAATTATTCTCTATAAAGTTTCCCAGATATTCCTTTTTTTTTTTTTTTGGTACCAGGGATCAAACTCAAGACCTTGCTCTTGCCAGGCAAGCACTTACTCAACTGAGCTATCTCCCCAGCCCTCCCAGATATTCTTTAGAAATAAAGTACTTCCTCATTCCAAAGAACTAATCACTTGGAAGTACATAAGGTCTCCATAGTCCTGTTCTACTATTAATTTTCCCTCTCTACTGTATTACATCTCTTACTACTGAGCCAAGGAGAACACTAGGCTTAAATTGTCCAGCAAGCTTTGAGCTCCTGAAAGAGATAACTGGAGTAGATTGAGAGGAAGTGTCTGAAGATAAAGAGTGAAAAATTAATAGATAATAATATATTTTTGGTACTGAGGATTGAACACAAGGCCTTCACAATGAGCTACATCTCTAACTCTTTTACTTTTGGGGTAGGATCTCACTCACTTCCCAGGCTGAGCTTGAACTTGTGCTCCTCCTGTCTCACTCTCCCACAGTGCTGAGATTACAGATGTTCTACACCACATTCAGCTCCTATTCCTTTTTAATAAATAAACACTCATTAAAAGGAACTCATATTCATTGGTTCTGAGAGCTAAAAAGGACTTTAGATGTGAGCTACTCAAATGTATTACTTTATAAATGGGATATCAAGGTTTAAATAGGTTAATGTCTTGCCCAAGATCACATAATTAGCTCAAAATAATGTCAGTGACAAGAACAGAATTTGGGTTTTCTTATTCAAAGACTGATGCCCTTATGGAGCAATGTACTACAATTTCAAGTACGAGGAGCACTAGACTAAAAAGATATGTAAGTTACTCTCAAATTCACCGAGGAGAAGCAAGCGACTAATTCACTTGAAAGGGGGGAATTACAGCTTTTTTGAACTTGTCACATGTTTATTGTCTTGGACTGACCTAATTTTTGGTTCTTTTTGGCAATCCTGGGATCTCTTGTACTATATGTGGATGAGGGAGAAGGTGAATATTTGGCAAAAGGACAGTAGAACTGGGGGAGAGCGAAGGCCAGCTGTAAGACTTAGCACCACATAGGTGCTTGGAGAATAGTGGTGAAGAAACTTGGAGAATAATGGTGAAGAAAAACAATGTAGTGCATGTCTAAATCAACATGTTATTTAATAAAACATGATTTAAATAGGTATTAAAAACATGAGTCACAAAATGGAACAATTCGGTGTAATAAAAATAATTAATTTAAAAGGTAGGAAAATTGAAGAAATCAAAGCATGTTAAAGGGAGAATTTTTAAAAATTAGGAAAGAGATGGGGCCAGGGAGATAGCTCAGTTGAGTAAGTGTTTGCCTGGCAAATGCAAGGTCCTGAGTTTGATCCCTGGTACAAAAAAAAAAAAAAATTAGGAGAGAGAACTGATATGGAAAAATTTATTTATTTATTTTGGCGGAACCGGGGATTGAACTCAAGCCCTTGCGCTTGCCAGGGAATTATTTATTCCACTGAGCCATCTCTCTGGCCCTGACATGGAAAAAATTAATAAGACAAAGGGTAGGGGCCAGGGAGATAGCATAGGCACATGCCCTGGCAAGCACAAGGTCCTGAGTTCAGTCTCCAGGATGGCGAAGAAAGAAAAAAGACAAAGGTGAGACCACTTCTGACACAACATGTCTCTCCTTAAAAAACCATTCACCCCCATTCTTTTGAGTTAACAAAATCATATTTCTTGAGAATTGTAGTAATGAAGGTCTAGGACTAATATTATTTCTTTAGAACTGAATTATGAAGAATTAATGGGTAGGAGAATAAAAACAGACTCAATAAGAGATGGCAGGCTGAAAAAATGGGAAAGCATTTAGTATTTGTAGTCAACCCAGACTCTTGGCAAAAGCAAGTTCAAAGACTTCAGTTGGTACTGAAGATTTTCCTGAGCCTGATTAACTCTAATTGTCGGGGTAGCCAACTTAAAGTTAAAGTTAAGTTAGACTCAATCACATGATTGATGTGAGACTGGAAAGGTATTATACCAATGCAATATCCTTGCTCCTTTCTCTTTCATGTCAAACCTATATATCATAATTTCTATTTCACAGAATATCTTTCCCTTGACTTGAGTCCTTTACTGACATGAATGGTCCCAGCAAACAGTACTACTCTGACTAGGCAACAACAACTGACTGTTACATATAAGAAACAAGTATATCAGTTCCACAAATCAGGGGGTACTGTTGCCTGCCTTTGGGATAGATGAAGTATTCATCCACTTAAAACACTTTGTGTACATATAACTGCAGAAATCTTCCACATCTGCCTGAAAAAGAAATGTAGGAAGCCCCTCAAAATATTTTTTTCCGGGCAATATTCACTCTCACTAACAACAGTATTGTCTAGAGATTTTTGTCCTATGGTAAAAAATATATTCCCCCCCAAAAGCTCTCACATCATATATACTTGATTAAATGATTTTTTTCCTTAAAAGCAGTTCCCTGTTGTATTAGCAAATTTGCAGAGCTAATTTTAGCACAAGTTTACTATCCAAACATCCTGGAGGAAGAAAGAAATAGGCGATACAGATGAAGGTAATGTATTTTTCTAAAAGATTAATTTGTGAAAATATACATTTTAGCCACAATATGCTCCTTGAAGAATATGACTCTTGCAACTTACTTTATATAGTAGGGCACTTTGTTCGGTGAGATGGCTCTCTCCCAGGGACCCTGGACAGAAGCTGAAAAAGAGGGGAGGGAGGCAAGGAGGTCAAATTCACCACAAACAGGAAAGACAACATTAATCTCCAGAATTACAATTTTACACTGATATTGGTCTGTTTGCTCAGTTGCCCATGAAGATAGGATGGATTAACCTGCTGTTCTGAAATTTCTGTCCTAGTCTAAGTGAAATTGAACTCATTCAGGCACAAAGGTAGACACAAAGAGTTGGGGGGCTTTCTAGTGCTAAACCTATAGAAGAGATAAGAAACAGAGGAAGTAGCCTGACAGGTTTTCTCTTTTGTGTCTCCACTAGGTGCTTTTCTTATAAAACTTTCTGTTGCTGCTTCTTGATATCTTTTTCTATGTGACTGACTAGGTTTATTAGTTCAGTAGCTGAAACATCCCTCTGTGTTTATGTATATTTTTCGATTTACATTTTAAGTTATTGAAACTAAAGTACTGTGCTCATCACCTTGGTATGCTTGTTTTTCTTTTTATTTGGCTTAATGGAGATCCAAACTTAAAAAGAAGGAGAGAGATTCCAAATTCATTTGCCAATCATATGTTTAGTTGGTGCTTCAAAATGATCAGTATAATCTTCTTTTTCTACGGGGGTGGTGAAGGTACCAGACCAGTGCCACTGAAACATGCCACTGAGATACAACCCCAGCTCCAAGCATGATCTTGCAAGACAGAAGCAATAGTGACAGAATTGCATCTGATATCAAAGAGTAATAAAAGTTTCGCATACTTTATGTAGCCCAGTGCTTATCTGTGTAGATGTGCATGTGTGTGTGTGTTTTGTGTGTGTATGTGTGTGTGTATACATGTGTGTGTGCACATGCACATGTGTTTGTGCTATACATCCTTAGATTTCACTTTATTGTGTTTGGGTCAAACCAATTATTTTTTAAGCTTTTTCAAGATGGCCATGGATACACTGCATGTGTGAGGGGAGTCTTGCTAACCTGCACAGGCTAGCTTTGAACTCTGATCCTCTTGTTCTAGCCTCCTGAGTAGCTGGGATTACAGGTGAGCACATTGTGTGTTGTTTTTCAGCCTTTTCAAAAATGCTTAGGTTGTAGGGCTTAAAACATTTTTTTTTTACTTTACTCTAGCTGAACCTCTAAAAATACTTTTATATACTTTTTGGTGAGATTTTTTTTCTTTCTTTAAAACAAAATAATTAAATTTAGAAGGCAGTATAACATTTCCTCAACAGTAAAATCTTCCTCCTAAATATGGTTTTAAGACTGGAGTTTTAGAAAACATAGGCTATCATCCAAGATAGAAACATAAGAAGTATAATTATTAACAGTTAGCAATTTTATGCGTATGTATATTTTTATGATTTTTTCTTTGTCCCACTAATGACTGGAAGCTCGGCGGATGTTGATCATTATTTCCGCCTATGAAAAGCTTTCTTCTAAATTAGTCTCTCAGTAAATTCACTTTGCAGCATATTGAGATGTAGGAAGACGTCAAAGCTAATATATCCTTGACTACACTGTATAATATGAAAGAACAGCTTCTAATAAAAGTTAACTTCACCTACTGCCAGACAATTGAATGGTAATGAAACTGCAGCTTCTTTGTTTTACATAGAATAATGGATTGAATCACGCAACCTTTAACCAGACGTGCTGCTTTGTACCTTGGAGATATATCATTTGAATGATATAGGAAATAGATTAGTATTTAACTGCTAATTATGCTTTTTCATTTTGGTAGACAGAGATGCTGAATATGGAGAAAGAAGACATTTAGCTGTTGCTGTGAAGTAGCCCCTTACCTTGAGTTTTCCTGTCCTTTGTCTATTCCTTTCTTTTCTATTCCATTGCTTTTCCTTCTTCCCCTTTCATCCCTGACTCTCCTTTTCTTTCCCAATTCTCCTCTTGCTCTATATTTCTTCTCAAGAACAGAGCTTTTCTGTCTCTGTCTCCATTAATTCACAGAGTAAATAAGAGCTGATTTAAGAACTTGGACTGTACCCTCTAACCCACCTGGTCATAGTCTGATGTTATGGAATTCTAAAAACCCAAGCCCTCTCTCTGCTTGCAAGCAGAGCAGAAAGTCAGAAATCATAGTTCCTGGCTGTTTGGTATACTTTTTCCTTAAAATTAGTGTCATAAAGGGAAGAGAACTCCGGAGAGTTCTTCGTCCAGCCCTCACTGGCTGTGAATGCCAAGCTTACAAATGCCCACAACAGGAAAAGAAAGGCTATTCTTTCCTTAAAGTTCTGTATGGACTGAGGTGTCACAATTTTCTATCTCTCTTTTTCCAGTTCTTTATCATTCTGATGGTCCAGAAATTAAATATGATTCTGAGGATGCCAGATATGTCTTTCAGTAGCAGAAGAGCCAGTTTGACTCCCTACACTTTTCCTAAGTAGCTCTCCACTCTGCAGTCTGTGTGGTCCAGCTAAGGAGATTTTGTCTGAAGAAAGCCACCTTCAAGTGGATAGCTATACATCAGCAAGAAACAGGAGAGTCCATGGTGGCCGGCTGAGGTAATAGCAAGACCTACCCAGAGGATATACAGTTCACTTTGTGTTGTCAAACATTAAAGGGAAAACAATTCCTGTTATATGCTAGAGGAATCATCAGAATATGCTTGAACTAAGTGGTTGCAAAGATTTAAAAATAATTTTTCATAAATTATTAGTGCCATGTTAAGAATTTCTATGTTTTTGTAACTGGAGTGCAAATCTTTTGTCTTTAAAATAAAAAGACCTGTCTTCTGTCTTTATGTATAGCTATCAAATTGGTCCAATGCTAAGATTCAGTACATTTTTCTTCCATAAACGATGTTTTTCCCCTTTGACTCATAGTTTCTAAATTCACTAAAGCAACTGTTTTGCAGTCATCATTTGAAACCCTGAAATTTTACACTCAGCAATGTCCTGGAGGCAATAAAAAAAAGAAAAATAATAGCAGCCTCCTCCCCATTCTGCCCTGCCCCATTGCCACCTCAGGCACACACACTACTAGTTTTAGAAATAACACACCACTGTAGGCTGGTTCTGCGGGATCAGACTCAGTGCTTCTCCCCAAGAGACTGTTAAAGGGTTGTTGGTAATTTCATCTGGGGCTACCAGATGACTCTGGTCTTGCCTCTATTCAAACTTCAGTCAAATACATGGTAACTCTCATAAATGTGCCTTCACAATTATTTCATTTCTTGCAGTAGTGCCGACGTCAACAACAGCTGTTTCTTATCTCAGTGCACCAGTAGAAGCTTGTTATCTTTCACAAAGCTATCCTACGTAATACACCCACATATCTTTTGTGCCTGGTGTGTCCATTTTTAGTAGTCCATCAAAAGCAGATTTATTGGCAAATACTTTTTATATGACACCAGCCTGTCCTTTGGTATTTTCTTATACAGATGTTTCTATAACCACAACATGTAGTTCCAGTGCAGCTTTGTGATTCAGATTCTCCAGTGTAAAAATCATTCATTATCGTAAAGCACCAGCACCATGGGGTATTGTCTATTGAATTTAAATAGTAAACTACACATGAATTTATTTATTCCAACACTGACCTCTGAATTTCCCCTTGCGTTAAAATGCAGTACATTATTAAGAGCAAGAAAGGGTAGCAATTCTACACACAAATGCTTTTCCTCCCTTGAGATGACAGAATTCAATACAGCGCTCAAGGTGGTTCTGGAAATCACAAATGCGGGCTACACTAGAGGAAGTTCTAATTTCAACCATGTTTTAATGCATGAACAGAATGTGCCAAGCGAGGCACCCCAGTGTTAAGCCATATTTTAATCGACACGGGGCCTCACCAGAAAATTAGAAAGAATGCAAATGTTATTTAAACTATGACAAAAGAGCACTCTCTGGAATTCCAACCAAACACATTCATCAATCTTTCTACTTTTCCCCTAATCGGGTGGACCTGGAGCTTGATAACATAGCTGGATCCAAAAAAAAGTGGGCAAAGGTCGAGAAAAATAAAATGTGTACTATAGCTGCTACTGAAGGTAAAATAGATAACTCACTTCTGAGGTTAAAAACTCATCATTGTTATTATTACGATGATGATTATTAGTCACTGGTACTTGACTTCTCCAAAATATACAAATTCTAATACTGTTTTTATGGACACATTCTATATTGGTACAGTAAAAAATGTTTCTTCATCTTCTCCCCACTATCCCCCCACCCTATCTGCCAGGAACTAACTTTTTGTGTCTGTCTCTGCCTCTATCTCTGTCTCTGTCTCTATCTCTATCTGTCTTTGTCTGTCTTGTCCTTCTCTCTGTCTGTCTGTTTCTCTCTCTCTCTCTCTCTCTCTCTCTCTCTCTCTCTCTCTCTCTCTCTCTGTCCTTTCTTCCTTTTTTATGAGACAGGGTCTCACTGCATAGTTCAGGCTGCCTTAAACTCACTGTGTAACTCAGGCTGGTTTTGAAGTCACCGTGGTCCTCCTACCTCAGCCTCCCAAGTGCTGGGATTACAAGTGAGTGCAACCATGCCTAGCTTCCCCTAGGAGATTTAGAAACATATTTTTTTTTCCTAAATGCTATACCCTCCATGAAATTTTAATTCTACAGATACACTGTGTTTGTGTTTATGTGCTTTTGTGTTTTACACAACAAAAGAGTACTTTTAAAGAAATTCTCTAAGAACCAAATTTTGCCCTCTTTGGGACTAACTCATTCCCACAGAGAACAATTGATCTAGAGGAGGTAGGGCAGGGGGGAAAAATAAGGAGCTATTAAAAGTCTCGTGTGCCTAAACATAACCTAAACTAGCTCGATTGGTGCTCATGATAACTTCTGAGGTAGGTATGGTTTTTATTTTACAAATTGTGAAACAATTATGATTACATGAAATAGCATGTCTAGGTTTTAAATCAGCAAGCAATACATCCTAATTTTGGTTGATTACACAAAATGAAGTTATATAGATGATTCAAGAAGGAGAAAACAAACATTGCACGTCTACTGTGCAGCCTGGACTACATATTACTTAATGAAATCTTCCCAAATATATAGGGAAGTC